GCCCCAGGCCAGCCCTGGACCCCCTGAGCCTCCCAGCACCCCCAGCTTGGGGAGCACCCCAGGCCCTTGCTGCCTCAGGACAGGAGGGTGCCTGTGCTGGGCCTCCTGGGTCCAGGCAGACCTACAGAGCCCCTGCCTAGGGGCTTGCCAGCACAAAGGGTTGGGGGGTCCCTCAGTGAAGAGTGCAAGGAGAGGTGACACAGTGAGGTGACAGCCCTGCTGAGCCGGCCTGGGGACAGCAGGGCTCCTCCCTGCCATTCCATGTGTCCCCATACATCTAGGGACACGCTTCCTCTGGCTCTCCACCCCCCTCCACACCAATTGAGGGTCCCCAGCCACCAGGAACCACGCTGCTGGACTGCAGCAGGGGTGGGCTGATGGCCACACACCCACACGTCCCACCGACGTGTCCTCATGTCCCCTGCCCCAACTGGCTGGACTGGGGCATGTCACCCTGTGTCTCCCCTGGGCACCAGAGCCATGGGAGGTTACCTGGCCCTCAGGGGGGATTTCTGCAGGACCTGATCCAAGAAGTAGACGAGCTGGTACGTCCTCCAGGCCGTGATGTCCACGGCTTCGATCGCCTCCATGTTCAAGCTGTCGGCTGCCCAGAGCTCTGACAGCTCATCCGCCGGCTTCATCAGCTGCTCTCCCGGTGAGAGGTCGGGCAGGTAGGGCGGCCAGCCCGGCGTGTTCAGCCAGCGGTCAAACTCAAAGCCTGCGGCAAGGAAGGTTTGGAGAGCTGGGACCAGTTTTCTGAGCCCTGTGCTGGGTGCTGCTGCCTAGACATCCAGCTGCCTCCTTGGGGGCAGCCCCAGCACCACCAGACCTGCCCAGGGATGGCGATAAGCAGAGACTAATGGGGTGAGGTGGTTAAGCTGCCCTGAGCTCAGTGTGTGCTTGTGCATTAACAACCCCAACACCATCACCGAGATGAGCCAGCTCTGGCACAGAAAGCTCCTGCCAAGCCTGGCTCTGCAGCAAGGCTGAGCCTGATCCCAGTGATTACCAGCGACTTCACCAGCAAACACTCCTGTCCTGGTGCTAGAGGCTCGCTGGGCTCAGCTGTCCATGGGAAACCCATGAAACAGTGCCTGAGCGCAGAGCATGGACTGGATGGAAAAAATCTGTCTGAGCAGGCATGTGCCTGAGCGCAGGTTAGTGCCTCATCCCCGGCTGGCCAGTGCCGCGCCGCCTCCATCAGAGCCGAGGCCAGTAGCGGCAGCAGCGTCTCCAGTAAACCCCACAAACCGACGTGCACAGGGTCTGCACAGGGCACAGGACGGCTCTGATGCCTGCGGGTGTTGGTTTGCGAGGCGGCACCCCAGTCCCCTGGCCAGGAAGGCTCAGTGCTGACCTGGGATGGTGTCCACGCCTTTGTCCTTCAGCTCCGGGAAGTACTCCAGAAAGAAACCGAGGGCGTCATCCGCTGTGATGCTCTGGAACTTGAACCGGTTCACGTAGGTCTGCGGGGATGGCCAGGGCATGATTCCACACGTGCTCACCCCTGGCAGAGCTGCCCAGACCTCCCCAGGCTCCATTTCATGGGGGCTTTGCATTGCTGAGCCCACGCCAGCCCCTGTTCCGCGGGGCCCCGGCCAGCCCCTGTTCCCCTCCCCAGGGGCTGCCCAGCCCCCAGCATCCCCCAGGACACCTCCGAGCATTGCAATCGCCTGCTGCCAGCCTGGGACCAACCTCTGCCTTCATCTCATCCCCCATGAACATCTCCATTTCCCACCTCCTCTTCCTCTCCCCAGCCCCCCCATTCAGCTCGTCCCTCCCAGGGTCCCGCTGTGCCCCAGCCTCCCCCCACAGGGTCTGGTGGGACTTGGCAGCTCTACCTGGTACCTCCCCATACCGACCTGGAGGAAGGCATCGAACTTGCTCTGGTCCCCCACGAGATGGGCCAAGTAGCTGACGAAGCAGTACCCCTTCTCGTAGGGCGTTTCGTTGTACGTGTCCTCCGGATTGACACCTAGGAAAAAGGAAAACCCTCAGGAATCATCTGCCCACCTGCAAAACAAAACAGCCCTTGTGTGTGCCAAGATCTCTGCTTTCTGTGCTGGGTGCAAGCCCGTCACATCCCTCCTGAAGCCATCGCCTCACTCGGGTCCCACCACCAGTGCTGGTTTTATTGCAAGCTGTGAAACACCCCAGCAGCAGGGGTTCCCCCGACACCAGACCTCACTTGCCCCGGCTTCCCCCGGCCATCTGTGGGGGGACAGGGACACTGCATAGACCTGGCTCGATGACCACGCGCAGCTTGTTGAGTGGATGGTCCTCCCCGGTGTTGTCCATGTGCTGGCGCAGGAGGGCCCTGCCCGTCGCAGCCTCCAGGCAGGTGTACGCCGAGCCTGGGTGGAGACAAGCAGGAGGCGTTCGGAAACCCCGGGCAGACCCCTGCGTGCTTTGAGTGCAAAGGTGCTGCTATGGGAGGGAAACAGCGTCGGCTTACGAGCTGGGAGAGGAGGAAACTGATAAACAGCGCATTGGAATGGCAGAGTTGCAGAGAGGCACGGCAGCCCAGCCCTTGGTTAGCAAGAGGATTTTGGAGCCGTTAGAATTTAGCTGGATGCACCAAACGGGGACAGGAGTGCCTGAGCTGCAGGATGTGACCGTGTGTCCAGGGGGGAGCTCAGGGTGTCTGGTGGCAGCTCCCCGCGGGAGCAGGAGGAAGGTGCGGCTGGGCAGGATCGCAGCGCCCACATCTCTGGCATGGAGCTGCGGGGCTCCATCCATCTCTCGGAGCAAAGGCAGTTCTGTTGCTAACACAAAACCCCCAGGGTGCTGCAGGCTGCTACGCTTCACCTCGTCCAAGATGCAGCGCAGGCTCCGGCCCCGCATGCAGCGCTCAGAGGGATGTGCTGAGCCGCGGTGCAGGGAACCCAGACCCGCGCAGGTCCTGCCTGCGATGGCACGGCCACACGTGGGGACTCTGTGCCCTGCGGCTGGGCGAGGCCACGCACCGTAGACCTCGGTGGAAATGCGCCTCTGGGCGTACATGGTGAAGCCCTCGTTCAGCCAGAACTCGCCCCACGTGGCGTTGGTGACCAGGTTGCCAAACCAGCTGTGGGAGATCTCGTGGATGATGACGTCTGCCAGGGAGCGGTCCCCAGCCAGCAGACAGGGCGTCACAAAGGTCAGGCAGGGATTCTCCATCCCGCCGAAGGGGAAGGAGGGCGGCATGAACAGGATGTCGTACCTGCCAGGGAAGAGCAGACGGCTTGGGTCAGACCCACCTCCTCCTGCGGGGAGGATGCTCCCTCCCCAGCTCCAGGGAGCAACGTCCTTCGGGAGCAGGAGGCTGTACCTGCCCCAGACATAAGGTCCAAAGAGCCTCTCTCCAACCGCCAGGAACTCCTCTATCACCCCATCATACTCCTTCTTCGCAGCCTCAATCAGGCAGGGCTCGGCCCAGACACGGCTCCTGGCCATGGGTATAGAAGAGGAAGTTTTCAGCATTAGGGGACTTTTACCCTGTTGCTTCATCAGACAAAAACTGCACAGCAAAATAAAAGCCTGCTGATAACGGAAGCTAATCAGACTGACAGTGCAAACTGCCGTAATTTCTTGCCTTGTCTGAATGTCAAAGGGCTTTTATATGGCGACTGTGACATGTTTGGGAACCTGAACAAACCACCGGCCTTGGGAAGGGACGGGGGACCCTCTGGGAATGGGGACCCGCTGCTCTCCTTCACGTGCACAGGGGTGAAATGAGCAGAGCCAGCAACACTCTCAAAGGGGAAAGGACCCGGCACCGAGGCTCCTCCTCACTCTCAAGAGGAAGAAGCACCCTCACCCGGCAGAGCCCATGGCCTGATGATGCAGCACCTCGTGCGCAGCAGACTGGGGAGTGACTGGGTCGCGCTTATGGTCAGCGTCTCTGTGGCTGCCAGCTCTCCTGAGCCCAGCGGTGCAGGGAGAGGCAGCCGGCAGCTGCCACGGGACAGCACGGCACAGGTGGCTCCACGGCCAGGGCTTAGTGCTCAAGTCTTCTCCAGAGCCACTTACCTTGGGCCAACGTCAGCAGACACAATGTCCCCAACAGCCAGAGCGATCAGGTAGGAGGGGATTGGGTGGGCCATCTTGAAGACAAAGGTGTTATCATTCTGCTTCTCCCAGCTCGTGGCACTCATCACAGCTGTGAAACCCTCGGGGACCTGGACACGTAGATGGAAACATGTTAGATCTGCACAGTACAGTGGGATGTCAGCTCACCCAGCCGGGAACACTGCCATGTCTGATGGCGAACACGTCCCGGGATGCAGGTGGCCAGGTCCATGGGCACTGCAGGTTTTGGGGCACAGAGCAGAGCAGGAACGCCCCGAGCTCCAACTCGGGATCCCAGCTGCATCCCTGCGACAGCATCACTCAGCATTTGGGCTCACACACTGGCTGGGTGCAACAGCGGGACACCCGGAGCTGCCGTGGGAGGTGCCAGCGAGATAAAGAAATGCTGGAGCTGCAGGTGCTGAAATGGTGAAGGACACAGATCCTTCAGCCACTGACTCTCCTCCCATTTCTTACACAACAACTTGTTTTTCCCGTTCTCAAGCCAAAGTACAACCCGTGGCCAATCCACCCACCTGGGCTGAGCCCTGGGAGACCGATCTGGTCTCTTCTTCCGAATGTGGGGCGAGCCCTGCGGTGCCACAGTGAACATGGTTTGCTTGATACAGAGCATCACACCAGGGCTCAACAACAGCTGAGCCCCGCACTCACCCATTGTGGGGGATGCTGCCAAAGCTTTAAGGGCGGAAATTAGAGCAAGAGGCAAAATAAATACATTCCAGCATCACCAGCTGATGCCACCATGTGCCTTGGCTTGTGTCACACTGATAAGCGGCTTCCCCCGCCTGCAGCAGGCACCCCACTGCCGGTGCCACTGCGTGACCACCCGCACACAAGGAGGGAATTGGGATTATTTAGTCCCATTTTTGACCTAAACCTGGGGACCAGCAGCTGCTCCTTCCATCCTGGAAACCCGGCAGCCCCGGCATCGCCACCAGGACCCAGCACCGCACGGCATCATTCCCCTCCTCCAGGTGTGCTCCCACAAACTGGGCTCATCCCCAACAGCATGAGGAGAGCAGAGAAATTTAAACACTGAGTTCACCCTGGCAGCTAGCTGATATTTTGGCATCGAAGCACCGAGTATTTTGGCCACCTCTCACCAGGAGAGAAGAGCTTTTAGCAGGAGGGCCAGCACACACACCTGCTCGTGTGAAGCTTTGTGGGAGAAGCAAGAGGCCACTGGGGTCTGCTTGTGTTCATCTAAGGATGAATATAAGAGGAAAATGGGAATATGAATGAATGACTTCTCAGTGCCTGCAGTGGGGGCTCTGAAGCAAGTATACACAGCACTGCCTGCAATGTGCTGGGCTGCACAGAGGCCCGGGCGATGTCACCGATGCGATGCCCCAGTGTTTCAGTGTATCCTGCAAGGGAACGGGCAGCTTCCCCGTGAGCAAACATTGCAAACTTGCAGAGGGTGGTGTGAGGGGGACGGGTGGATCTGTGCCCCCGCCTGCTCCTGGGAGCACCGCTTACCTGCACCGTGGCCGAATACGTGCATTTGACTGACGGGGTGTCGAAGCATGGGAAGAAGGACCTGTTGAGGACGGCCTGGCCTTGCGTGTACACGTAGGGCTTCTGCTTCCCTGCTGTCTGCTCGGGGGGGAGCCAGCACACCTGGAGGGAGGGGAGAGACCCCCGGGTGAGGGACGTCCCTAGGGTGAGGGGCACCCCCAGCTCCTTGCCCATAGGTGTTCTCTGCTGATAACGCAGGACTGACCAGGTCATGCTTACCCCCCGCGCCCACCCCAGGGGTGTCTCAGCCTCTTCCATAACCGGTGTCCCCTCAGCTCCCCCCAGGCCCCTCAACTCCCTT